AGTGTTTCCAGCAGGCTAGAAACCAATTTTGAAAAAAATTCAAAGGGCAGTAACTTTTGAACTAGTAGCCCAATCTTGGAACTGTTTGAAGTTATCGATTCTACAGGCCACATTCTATAAGAAAATATTTTTTCCGGGTCGATCTGAGAAAATTTTTTTTTCGGGGCTCAAAAAAAGGCAGTGTATAGCCTTCCTTTTTTACCAAAAATCGACTACATCAAAATTTCTCGGAAAAACACTTTTTCTTATTAATTTGGGTGCATAGAATCCAAATCAATTTGTACTTTTTCGATCAGCTTCTCAATCAAAAGTTATAGACTAGAAACCCTGGTTTCCAGTAATATGAAAGGTGCTTTATATTGTTTATATTTATATTAATTTATATTGTCAATTACTGTGATTCAAGCACTTTTAATGGCTTCAAGCACTTTAAATGGCTTCAAGCACTTTCCAAGGGCTTGGTGCTTTGTATTTTCAATTACTTTAGAAAGTGCTTGGTAATTCCAAGCTCTTTAATCACATAAAAGTGCTTAGGGCTTGCAAGCACTTTTATCAAAACAAAGTGCTCGCCTGCTCGGTGCTTAGTGCTTCAAGCCCTTTTCAAGAGGGCTTTACCCACCTCTGACAGAAACTGAGGTGCATTTGAACAGAGAAAGTGAAAAACAGGAAAATTTAAGAAGGGATTAAGCAAGGTTTGAGGGGAATGTGAGAGGTGCTTTTTATGCAGTGGTGGATTGTAGATAAAAGCACAATATAACCTTAGAGGCTCAAAAGGGGGGTATAAAGTTACCTTGCTCTAGCCACCATATAATGGGGGTTTCAGAGAAGAGTGTGCGTTGGATACTGGATTAAAAATTAACAAAATACGGTGGGGGAGACCAAGTGACCATATTTGAAATAAGAGACGTACTTGTCGTGACCCGTGGCAGGTAAATGGGGCAAGACTAATTCATAAGAACTATGAAGAATACATTTAATGGGACCTTAAAACAAATTTGGCAACTATTATTGGTGGAAGCTTAACAGGAATATGTGGGAAACTTAAGGAGAATTTGACAAAAGAGAAAACCTTAAGAATTAAAGGAGGAAGAATCAATTTTAAGGAAACGTGACACGAACGATGGAGGGGGAAACGGAGGGTAGAATTTATAATTACTAGGGGAGGGGGTGCAGACGGAGAAGAACTCATAGATCCTTAGGGAGAGCGATCAGAGGGATAGGAAGAGTACGTAGAACAACTATAGGTATTATAGGGCAGAATAAGAACCGTTAGCTGAATTCAGCAACCAAACATTAAACGGCAAAAACTATAGGGTTTAGTATACTTAGGTCAGAGTTCGACAAAGCTATAAAGGAGCAACAGGAGCAGATGCAGTATCAGCAGAATTAGTAAAACACTCGGGAACAAACGTGCAGCATCTGCATAGGCTCTTTAAACTATCAAATAGTATATATACGAAACAGAGGGCAGATGCCGGATGACCTTCAAAATGGTAGGTTGATTATGATCCCGAAGAAAGGAGACGTAGAAAAATTCGGACATTTCAGGACAATTAGCTTACTGGCCCACGCATAAAAAAACTAGCTAAAATAATCTCCTTATAGGAGAATAGAGGATAGAGGAATAAGGGAAGCTGGCGGATGACCAGTTCGGGTTTAGGAAAAACGGTGACACGCGCGAAGCTATACGAGTATTAACGCTTAGGACAATATTAGAGGAGAGCTAAGAGTAGGAAAAACAACTTATATGGCTCGTAGATCTAGAAAAAGCATTTGATTTGCGATAATGGCAGAGCTAGGAGATAGTATAGAAAGGGAACAGAGAGCGGTGATTAACGTAGAGTGATATGAGGCCGCGGCCAAGATGCAGAGGGGGGTCAGACAGGGCTATCGCCAGCAATATTTAATCTACATAGAAACCATAAGTAGAGTAAGCAGGATTTCTACCCAAAAGCTCTTCAGCTCTTTCTTTTATGTCTAAGAATATGTGTACCAAATTTGGTTCAAATCGGTTCAGCCGTTTAGACGGAAATGACAGTATACAGATGGACCGACTGACCAACATCATCGAGATTTTGTTTGATTCAGATTCCTGGGTGCTTAAAAACGTGTATTTCCGTCAAAAAAGTGAGGGAGCCTTTTTTTAACCCCCTGTAATACCTCCCTTACCAAAGTTCGGGTGGTAAAAAGCATTTGAACAAAAGCGGAACCTGCTTAAAGATTCGGGATGGATATTAGGAAAAAGTAAAAGTATGTAGGATAGAAGCATTCCAAATGTAGTGCTATAAAGGAATAGAGGATTAGTACAATTAGCTATAGAAGGTAAGTCAGATGACGAGAAAGGTACAGGACGACAGAGGCTTTATTAGATATAGACCAAATAGTTTAGGCACGTAGGCAACAAAAGGGCAGTTATGTAGAAATGAAAAGATTAGCGCAGGATAGGAAAGGGTGGAGAACTGCGTCCAACCAATCCTAGCATTGAGGGCTCTGAGAAGAAAAACACGGGGAAAACTTTAAGTGCAAAGTGAAAAATAAATTGAAAAGAATTTGATAAACTCGCGTTTGAGGGAAGCTGGAGGCGCGAAGAAAAAATTGTGCAAAACGTTTGAACAGTTTGAAAACTTTACGAAGGTTTGACAAGATCCTGAGCGGAATGTTGAGATGAACTCAAGCTTAAACTGTATTACCTCAATTTCAAGACCTTAGGTACCAAAGCAGTGAAAATTTTATTTAATTTTAATTTTAAAGAAATAAAAATGAAGAAAGTTGTTCAAGTTCGATTTCTGCATCAATTTTTTCAACCATGTTTTGTGGCGATTGCGTCACTCTAAAGAATATTTAGATACTTAAGGAATTGTGCAAAGATCTATTCCTGATGCAAAAGAAATTTCAAAAGCCATTGCCATCGAGTCCTATTGATCTTAGTGAATGATGAAAAAAATATGCAGGTCACCATGGACGAATGATGATGATGATAGTTCACAGTAGGTGCATTATAGCAACTACACGCTCCTATTCAGTCCTGGATTTCTCGTGCAGGTTATAAAAACCTATAGATAAAGAAAATAAAAGCATAAAATTAAATTCTTTATTACTATAGGTAGGTACATATTAAAAGTGATTCACAAACCCTCGCATGAGTCCAACACCAAAAGGGGACAGACGAAGTAAAAACCTCTCGGACTTCGACCTCCCTCTATTAGTATTTGTGTTAATTACGTTTCCTTTATAAACTCTTATACGAGTCATCATTGAGTTCGCTTTCTCAAAACCCTACTCTTGTATAGGCAAATGGATAGGTAATCCTGGAACCAGAAGTGTTGACAAAATATCGCGTCACCGTAGGCCCCAGAAAGAAACTTACGGGTAAATGCATTACAGCATCTGTACGCTACTCATATTGATAACATTCTTTTAATCACGTTTGATGAGTACCTATCCGTCGAGTACACTTTAGTTAAAACTCTACTCCATGAAGAATTTAAATAATACAACCACAGATAAAATATTTATATTTTATCTGTGATACGACGTCTGTTTAACCAGATTTACTGGAATTAGGTAGCATACGTACTAAACTTCATAGGTAAAAGCAAAGAGTAACCATAATTATGGTTACTCTTTGGTAAAAGCCATGGAGTCTAGCTTAAAGTCTAGTTACCTTTACCGGCCTGGGATACTTAGCTTCACCACTAATAGTGGCTACTGAGCCCCACCACCACGACAAGGTGTATCCCCTGGTGGGGAATAATTTTAACAGACCAGTAGGTGACACAACTGCAACTTCGGATTTTGGGTATTGTTTTATCGATCTTTTTAACAAGCCTAACAAGAGACATTTCGCATCAAGAAGGCCCATCCCTAAAGATAATGCGAAAAATGCGACTTAATTTGGTAATTTTGAACATGAACAGAAAACAGAACTGATAGTTTTTGAAATGTTGAAACACATCTAGGGGCAGGAATTTTGGAAAGATTTTTAAAGAATCAGACAGGGAAACACCGTTAATTCCACCGTTCATGGGTTTACTTAGAAAAAAATAAGAAACAGTAAGGACATTGGATGACTTAACTCCGAAACGATACAGTTTGGGCCATTGGTTTATTTAGAAAAATGCATGCTGCGCGTACTGTCGCCGGAGTGCGGGGCATCAAGCTGGTAGAGCGTGGCGCCAGTTCGATCTGGCAAGGAGAACTGGTTGTTTCTTGAAGCGCAGTCGAAGCAAGCATTGTCCTTACAATCAAAACTTCGGAGCTCTGTTTTTAAACGTTTGCGGCCAGCGACGCTACGCTCTCATCGGTTGACCGTTTTGACCAATGAGAGTGCAGCACGTTTTTATAGTTTGCTGCCGAATTTGTAAGCGGCGCCTCACCACATCTCTCCCCCATAATCATGGGTTGCTCTTGATCCCCACCACCACTGTACGCTGAAAATAGACGATAAAGATCTTAGCTGTATGGTTTTTAAAACCTTTGAAGGCTCTGATCCAGAGAAAAGAGTTAAGTATAAGGATCTTGGGCAAGTGAAAGTGAAAACGAGCTTAAAATTTGGGTTTGCGAGATTGAAAATTTAAATGTACACTTTACCAATTTGTAAACAAATTGACAATTGGATATAAGAACAGTTTGCAACATTTTTATGGTCGTGTCTTAGTCTAGGACTATTGTCAGCTTTTCCACTTAAATTGTTTGAATAAAGGACTTACTTCTATTGTTTAACCATAACTGTTGGTAGTAAATTGTTTATTTTAAGTTCAAAATGTCTACGCACAATAAATTAAGGTATTTCTCTTGAAAAAGACAGCTACTAACCTCGCCGGATCACGCAGAAAGCTGCAGTTTTTCTATTAAAATATACCATTTTAAACTTTTGTTTGAGCTCCCATCCTGAATTCTTCATACAATGTTAGTGAAAGACATTAAACATCGTGAGGTGGACGGCCATTTGCTTCCGTAAATTCGAATTACATTAATCAGTCATGAAAGACAATAAGAAATCAGTTTAAATATCTCGTTTATTCGTAATAATTAGTATTGATAAAGTTATATGTACAAAACACTATAATATATTTACAATTATAAAATGCACTTAGTTTTATTATACACAAATAAAGAAAATACTCACACATTCGATTTAAACATACTATGACTAGCTCTTAATTGTATGTAGGAATTGTATTACAACAGTTACGAACAAAAATAATAATTCCAGTTGCAAATCCCTAAGTATACAAGTAATAAAGATGTACGAACACCTGCCTAGGTATATAGACTTTCAACTTAATAAACAATCACAACCACTATTACAAACTAATATAAGTAAACAAAACAACAGTTCTTGAAGGAATGAATTCAACTAACCGCTTATCTCACATACTTTTTTAAATAAAAATAATAAATATCTAAAGTTTAGAGTATTTACAAAATGTATATAGAATATTGCATATATTAGGTTATATACACACAACGATTTAAATATTTTCAATTTTTGAAAATATACAATCATCTTCATAGACTGCCGCCCACAAGAAAATTCGGTTACCGCGTTAGAGAATTGTGAGCTAGGAACAAAAAGTGGCACAGTAAAAATAATCTAAATATGCAGAGGTTGTGAGAAAGGTACCACAAAAATTAGTTAGTACTCCTAGGTTAGATACACTGTATTTTGCAGTCATTTTCCTTCTATCACAATCTGAATATTTTAAATCTTTGTTTATATATCTTACAGTTAGTGTACTATTTTTTTACAATTAGGAAGATTTAGGATTTAATGTTGTAATTGGTCATAATCCTGCTTAATCTTTAATCGTACAAATATAGATCTCGTTTTGGTTACATACTAACGAAAAAGTAATACAGATAACTATAAGGTAAATAAACAAAGTAAGTAATCACCTATTTACATCACATTTCGAAAAGTGGGATAAAACAAAACCTGACGGTGGGGTCTCTAGGGGTCAAAAATATATTTAGCTGCTATTAGCACAGTCTCTATATTTCGTTTAAATCACATTTTTGGAATGGATTCATTATTGCTCAGTTAAAAAACACTGGAGTCCGTGGTTAATGTTGCTGATAAATATCTATGGGACTTGGATACCGTGAGAATCCGTTTCTGTTGTCTCTGGGCGCTTTTAGGGAGTGCGCCCTACAAGAATCCCCAGCGATATACGTAAATCCCGTGACGGGGAGTGTGCCCCCTGGCCCACGTGGAGGCCTAGCACGCCGACCTTCACCTCCATCGACACAAAATACCCCGGAGGGCGGCGCGCTAAGTTCTAGCTACAATTCCGTCACCGGAATCGGCTTAATGTTATGCTGAGCCGATCGCATGATGTAATCGTCGTCGGAAAATGTTTTCTGATATTCGTGTTCCTTCCTACTGATCGCTCGCTTATTCCATTTGTAATCCTTAACAGCTTCACGAACGCGCTGCCGGTATCGGAACAATAATAATCCCAAACCCCCCAAAAGTATAACGGCACTCACGCACAACGTCACTAAAATCGCCTGCTGTCGTGGATCGCTGAAGGAGCAACCAAGATCGTCCGCGCCCAAAGCCCGCAACGAGCGCTCCTTGAGCGGCATCGGAAACGAGCAGTGCACCGTTGTTAAATTTTTAACGGCCATTAAATTGCTAAGCCACAGTATATGACAATCACATTTGACAGGATTATCCGAAAGCTCTAATACTCTCAATTCGTTCCAGGATAACCAGGACTCCGAAAAGGTTTTAAACGCATTCTCCTTCAGTATCAGATGCTTTAAATTGGGTAAACCGACTAGTGCCCCGTCTTCTATACCCTCCAATTTTCGGTTGCTCGCCAAAATAATCGTTTCTATATTTAAATTATCGGCGAACGCTCCTTTTTCGATATTCACCAAATGCGTGGCGCCGGTAATGTCCAATTTGCGCAAATTGCTTAATCCCTTAAAGGAATTCAACTCTACCGTTGCGAATTCATTTTGTCCTATCGTTAATTCCTCGAGCCGCGATAGATGCGATAACTGTTTCGTAGGTATTCGACTTAATTTGTTGTCCGCTAAATTGAGGTTCCTTAAAGTATTCAGACCTCTGAAAGCGTCACTGCTGATGTCTGACAGAGCGGCGCCGCTTAAATCTAGCACCGATAACTTATTCAGTCCCTCGAAGGCATCATCCGGAAGAAAAGTAAACGAGTTAAGGCCGACGTGAAGTTCGGCGAGGCTTCCCATGAGTGGAAACGATGGCGTCGGAACCGACGTTAGCTGATTATCGTCAAGATATAAAACCCTTAACGCTAGCAGACCATCAAAAGCCAACGCATCAATCTTCGATATTCTATTCTGACCGAGATTTAGCTCTTCCAATTTAGAAAGTACGGTAAATAAACCTCTCGGTAACTCCTCCAGGAAGTTTTCTCGTAAGTTTAAGACCGTTAGAGATTTTAAGCCCTGAAATGTTTTGTTCGTGACGCCCGATAGCTTATTTTTATTTAAATGTAATTCTTGTAGTTTCTCTTGGTAGATAAAGCTTTTTGTTGGAATGCTGATTAAGTGATTACTGGAGAGATCGACATATTGGAGATCTTTGTAAAATTGAAACGCGGCATCTATCGTCTTGATTTTGTTGTTTCGTAAAACGAGTCTTTGTATCGCGGGATTTAGCGTTATTGGTAAAACGTCTAATTTACTTTTTTCACATTGCACTACGTAGGTCTCGTCGTTGCAAACGCATCCAGTTGGGCACCCTACGGCTTGGACTGACGACGTTAATAATCCCAGGAGGAGAAGCTTCAACATTGCTGTTGTTGTCCTCGGCCACTGCAAAAGAAAGATGAAGTTAGTACAAAGTAATTTAAAATCGTAATTGTTCGACCGAAAAGGCATAACTTTAGCCATGAACAGATGTTATTGAGTAATAAAAGTTGTCACGTAGTCCAATAAGAAAAATAAGAGTTTTAAACGTTTCAAGTTCCAGAGAAGTTTCCAAAGGAAAAACTTATTAAAATTATTGCGAGTTTTTATAATTAATATCCGGCAACTAACGCGGAAGTAATTTTTATCTCCAAAGAAATAAAAACGAATTTTCAACGCTGCTAAAAGTTTTGCAACGAGGGACACATTCAAATAGCACTAAGCGCCTGTGGATAAGAGAGAAAAATAATAGTTGGGCTGCGTTAGGTCTCCGGCCAATCATACTGGCGGCGGCCGTGTAAGCTGCTTACCGTCCCGTTGGGGGACATTACACAGATTGCTGCGGAGGCACGCACCCCCTAACATTGCAGTAAATTGGAATTATAATGATTTCCTACTTCGCTTGATTATAATGAGTATTAGTCGAGAAGAACGCAAGAGTACCGAAATTCATTATAATTCACGATGTGAAGGCAATAACTCATTCCGACGCTGTTTAGATTAAACAAAAAGTGACAGGAAACAATGCATGACACGAATATTGAAGATCTGCGCGCAAATGTGGTGATATCAAAAGAAGCGAATTTCAGAAGGAAATGTCAAAAGAGTAATAAAAATAAACGTGACAGTCCAATTGGGGCATGTCAATCACGATACGGCCGATTAATTTCATCCCTTCCGGCCGATGTGCATGGGAGCGTGGTGGAGTCGTGCCAACTTTTTGTTAATTTATGGCCAAATAAGGTAATGGAAATATCTACGTCATGTTAGAAAATGAGCTTCCGAAAGTGCAGTCGCTTGATGCCTGTCGACCGTTTCGGTAGAGGGTAGCTCGAATTTTGGCTTCATCGATTTACTAACGAGATCGCATTTCAAAACACAAAAATGTTCATTACGGCACTCTATGTTTGAGGTAATGGCATTTTTACAATGGAATAAAAATTGCGTGGACATGGTGAGATCGATTTCGTCTGGACCACGTAATAAATTGCAATAGTCTTTGCCTCTAAGATAGGGATGAACCGGCAGCCTGAGAAACGGTAGCTGCGAAAGTGGTGGAATGGGATTAGATTTCAAACATGCAATGTTACAATATCGTTTCAGAAATAGTTACGTGTCTTACATAACATCAATTCTGAAAGATAATACGAGAAACAGAAATAAAAGGTCTTTAATTAGAACATGAAACCACATGCTAGTAATTTTGATGTCGCTAGTATGGAGTTTCAGCTGCTGCAATGCTCTCGTCAAAGATGCACTCTAGTAAACCTATTAGATGCATTAGCTGGCCTTCAAATTTGTGAATAATTTAACACTGAACATAGACAATCACAGGAAAGAATGGCACTTGTCGAGGGACTTGTACTAAGTAATAATTTGGATTCAAGAACTAGCTTTAGGGTGTAAGAGACTAAGAGTAATTAACCAATAAAATTGGTAAAGCTACTTCACTGTAGGCGACTACCGCACCGTACCTCGACCGTCCATTACAATTCCGAATGCAGTAAATATTTTTATTTCATACTATCTAGTAATCGCCGCTCTCCCAGACTGATTTGAGTCTGGTAAATCGTATTTTACCAGACTGAAAATTTTTACCAGACTGGAAATTTTGCCTAGCAACATCAATTGACATCCATCTAAACCTATGTATTAATGTGTCAAACTACTGTCAGATCAAACAAATCAAGTGATCGACTTTTGCTTTCAATTGAACGCGTACACGTTCTAATCAAAAATTGTATGGCATTTTAATAGAAAAAAGAGCAGTATGAAATAAAATGTTTTACATTATTTGTATGTTAAATCAGTTAACGTTACTCGTTTCGAAATTCCTGCCTCAGCTACGCTTCGGCAGTAAACATCTCACTCGTTAACGTAAACCTTGATTTACCATACTCATATGTAAATAACTATTACTTGCTGAAAAGTACCCGTATCACCGTAGTAATTACGGGTCTTCTGTGTAATTTAAATTTAATTTAATTTTTATTTTTTTGGATGTGTTTAAAAAAAATAAAAACAAAATCGACAAATTTTGGTTTTTGTAACATATATTCTCTTGGGAAGCAATTGGAATTTTCTGTTAACTTTCCACTAAAAAATACCTGTACCGATAGTAAGAGTTTTAGCCCTCCTTGCAACAGAGGATTTGTGCACTACATATAACCGGATATAAAAAAGATCCTCTTCTCGAAAAATCTCGATTTCTTATGAACTTCTTAAGAGTTTGGCGTCTCATATCTTCGTAGAATCAACTTGTATAGACGACGAGTCTCATCCGATTCTTTTCGGGTCAAGGAGAGAACACGTTTGAATTTGTTTGTAAAGTAGCAGAGAACATTTTTAATTTTTCTGACAATCTTTGTAACCGACACCATGATTTTCAAGCATTAGGTACATAGGACTCCCTCAAAATGGGGTGAGTACATCTTTTGAAAGAATCATGCTATTTTAATTTTTAAGGGGGTGATTGTGGATTCTAGTACTTTTTTGTAAACTTTGTGAAAGCAACTGAATTTGAGGGGAGGGATATTGAATGTGTAGAATATGGAAAAAATATTGAGACATACTTTTTGAACAAGTTGTAGACAAATGTGGAACAGACGGGTGGACATATTTTGGTGCACAATATTTACTACTATGAAAAAACATTTTACAAAAAGTTACACATAGACAGATGGTGGGATGAGATCATCTATTACCAACCTTTCCCATTTGGAAAAATGAGGGATTGGGATTGGGTAACTAAAAAAGGAAAAATGGTAGATGACGTCATAAGCTCTCGTATTGAACACCAACGGCTTTGCTAAGCATTATTTCGAACCGCATTTTGAAAGATTGGATTGATTGGTCAAAGAAAAAGTGAAATATTAATATCCATCGTGGAATTTTCTTAACTTTCCGAATTTTCTTTTTTTTAATCTTGTGAATTTTTGTATGCACATGACTGTACTGGAATTTCTTGTAACTAAATCCGTCAGATCTGAAATATAATCGACAATCACTACAAAATTTGTATCAAACCAGCAAAGCAAAGCTCGTGAAAAGCTATATGATGACTCCAAGTAGAGTGACATAAAAAAGCACAGCGTGGTTAAACTTCATCGCCTAAAGCAAAGGGGAGGCTTTCAGATGCTACTCTGCTCGTCTTGTGACCATCAAAATTGACGAAGTGACCAAAAAAATTCAATAAATCTATGAAAATTCACACAAATTCCAAAAAACCGACGCAAAATCGAGGAAATTCGTCTTCATTAGAATTTAAATTCTTATTCGTTTCGAAAATCCGAGATTAAAAGATAAGATCCAAACAATCGGTCGGTCTTACTAAAGACAATCGTTAGTTCATTAACCACACGTTTCTTACTAAACGAAACGGAAACCCAATCAATATTCATAGATGTGTCCAATCCACTATTTTTGTTAATTAAATCATAATTACTCGCCACACGTAAAGTTAGCGTTAACCTTTATTGCATACTAACTTTCGCAGTGTCTATGCACAAATTTAATGAACGGATAGAGTATTTTTAGAAAAAAAACCCTGCGATGAACATCAAAGTAACAATGGTGCGCTTTCGAAAATTTTTAGATGCCGAAAGCGGCGTAAGGTGTCAATTTTCTATTTTTATCGAAATTTTCATCAATTTTACAATTCGGTTTGCGGGGAAAATACACAACGTATTTTACAGGAATTGTGGTTTATGTGGTAATTCAAAAGATTGTATACGGGTTTTGTAATCCCTTTAGCCGTAAATAACTGGAGATTTTTCTTTTCTGAAACTTTTACGTTGGGGAGGCTGACACGAGAGGAATGCCGGGAAGGTTTTCACTTTCATTTTGTTGGATTTATTCATTACCTTCAGTTCATTGGCGGTGGCCTGCAAATACCTCGGCACATTCCATCAGTGTTCGACGACGGTTTTTCAAGTCGTTAATTTTCAAACGTGGACGTTAAAATTTGAGAGGTGACGGGCGTTCTGTGCATGCAAACTTGTGTACGTCTAGGGGTTATTCTCCAACTGGAAACGGTGGCGTATCGACCGTCTCACGTCCTATAAAAATAAATTCACATCGCATCGCATCTCTGACCAAGCGTCTTTGCTTTCTGTGTTGGAACTCCAAACTCAATTTTGATGTGGATGCATTTCTTTCATATCTGCCAGTTACATTTTCGAGTACGTTTTTCAGATGGAGAAGAGAGCGAATAAAATTTATTAGTTGCATAAAAATATTGCAATGCCAGATAAAGCGTACGCGCTCATAATTCACCAGTTTCCTCTCTTGTTTGGTAATAGAGAAGGAAAATATTTTCCCCTTTATTCTTTTTATTATCCCCAACACAGATGCTAATTGAAAACTAGACGAAAGAATTACGGAGGTAATTTTTCAACCAAAAGAAATGAAGAAAAAGATGTAGAATAAATGTAAGAAATTGAAGGCGAGAGGTCCGTGAAGTTTCAGTAGAGATACCTATTCAATTTCTAACTTTTGTCCCTATTTTGTGCAATGTGTTGCTGTATCACACAAATTTTGTATTGATTGATTTGTTGCAGGTTGTGATTTCATGGGAGGTTACCCAGTTTGATTTGCGTAGTAGATTTTAGAACTTTCGTTGTGACCAAAGGGGCTGGTCAAAATCCTGAAACTTTGTAAGTACTTCTATATATAGTTCGTATAGTTCCCCGCTCCCATTGTTTGTAATAGTGTCAGTTCCACTTCTTTGTTAGCCTTTTTTCTAGTATCTTTTCAAACATCTTCATTGGGATCCACAATAAGGTAATTCCTCTGTATCGCATCTCTTCTTAAAGATTAGTCCAATTTCCCAGTCCGTCAGTGGCGTGCCCTCCTTCCAACCCCTATTAAATATTAAGTAATTTCCTCTTTCTCCCATATATAATTAA